GAATATATATATATATATATATTAATTTTAATTAAAATTTAAGTAATTAATTTTGTATTAAGTAAAAAATAATCGGGGCTAATACCATTAATAAAAATATGCCTAAAAAGCTATCGTAAAATCTATTTCATTGACTTTTCCTTTTGTAATCCAATTTTAGTATTGTTAAATCGGTTCGTTTTTCTTATAAATTTAAATCTCCAACTCTATAGAACTTTGATTTTTTACCACTAAAATAACAATATGAATTTCAAGAGAATATGGCATCATTAAAAATTGAAATTGCATACAATTTTTTATTTTATTAATTAATTTTATATTTTATCAAATTGATTAAAATTAAACCGATGAAGGAAATTTTCTTTTTTTTTCCGTGAAATAGACGAAATTATTTTTTAAACGACGAAAAATAACAATAGTAAATATAATGAATAAAAATTCAACAATTGAGATTTATTTTAAACAAAAAACTTTAAAATTCGTAAATTATTTTGAATTTTAAAATTTTAAAATAAAATATATAAAGAAAAATTGGAATTTTTATTAACTAATTCAATTCTTTTAGATTGTTTTTTTCTGTGTTTTTTGCTTGAAAAACATAAAAATATGCCAAAGATTTGTTTAAAAGATTTGATTATATTTTTTGAAATGATTCGCAAAAGGCGATTGGAAATACATAATATCTAATTAAATGAGGCAAATTTGTGGCAAATTATGTCGAGAAAATTTTTTTAGATTTAAAATTATTTCTTCGACCACCGCAGGGCATTTCTGTCGGAAATTATTTGTCATATCATTTCGTTGTCTTAAAAGAGTTTTTTTTACAATTTATCAAAATAACTGAAATGTCACAAAAGTGTAAAAATGTGAAAAAAAAATTTATTAATTCTATTATAAATTGTCGGATTTTCTAGGAAGAATTAAGCTAAAACTTTGAAAAAATATCTTTTTATTTCTATTTTCATTTTTTTTTTTTGAAATTTTTTCTAGAAATTTTCATCGATTTTGAACCTTCATAAACTGCAATTTTTTCAACAAAAGTACCAAATATAAAATAATTAATAAATAAAAGAAACGAATAATTTGTCATAAGTCAATCAATTTTATGTTTTGAATGAAATGGTGATTTTTTAGTTGTCGAAAAAAAGATGGTTTTTTCATAGAAATACACTAACAACGGCAATCTCATCATTGCTTCTAGCTAATTCTTTTGCATAAGCTTATCATATGGCATAATTTTGAAATATGATCTGATAATGATGTGATTAAACTGCTGTTCACAAGGCTTTACACTAGTTGTCAAGGATATTCTTATCAATTTCATTCTTATTCTTGTTTAGTGCTATCAGTGAAATTCGATGAAAATTAGAAAAAAAGAAATGTATTTCATAAATTATGAATATAAAAAAGAAAAATTCGTAAAATATAATATTTTTCATGATTTCCATATTTTTATATTTATTTTCAACAAGTTTACCATTGACAGAATGGCTCACTGGGTTGTTGCTCTAATTTCGAAGCGTTAGTGCTGGGGTTTTATTTCAGAAGTAAACGAAGTAGGCCTAAATAAATGTCGTTCAAGTCGAAATGATGCGAGAAATCCGCTTGTATAATCCTTCTCTATCGTTAATTCCCTGGCAAAATTCATTGGGTCTAATTAACCGAGCCAATCAAGGAATCCTTCTACGTTTTCTACGTATTCATTTATGCCGTATATTTAATCGTTTTTTAATATTTTAATAGGTAAAATAAGAGATTTGTACAAAACTTTATCAGCGATCTATTATCGCGTTTTTCCCTTTTCATTTTATCTTCATTCGTATAAACCTTTTTACTTTTTTTTGTCAGTGAATTATAATATAGAATTTTCAATTTACTGAAATTTTCGAAATTTTCAAAAAAAAAATTTTTCTTCAAATCTTTACAAATTTTCTTAAAAATTTAAATTTAAAAAAAAGTTTATAAAAATTGAATTTTTTTAAGTCTTTCGATAAGAAAAATCTCTCTTGAAAATTTATTCAAATTTCCATTAAAATTTTATTCATTCATTTTTCAATAGATTCGCTTGCAAAAAAAATATTGAAAATTTTTTTTTTTTTTAAAGTAAAAATAACTAACTAAAAATTTTTCTTTCTTTAAAAAATTTATGAAAAAAAAAAGAAGAAAGATAAAAATTTTTCTAATGAATTTTCATTATATTTTATGTAATTTTTTTTTCTTTTTTCAGCTATTAAATGAATTTTCTGCTCCATTTGGTTTTAATTCACAAGTGAAATTAGTTAAAAAAAAAAAATTGGAATGGAATGGAATGGAATAGAAGAGAGACAAATGATTGAATAATACGCCTTTAGTTGAAGAGCTTATCTTGTAGAAAGCATTCAATTGCAATATAGATTGAATAATTTTAAAGAGCTTTAAAAAAATGAATTTTTTTATTTTACTTAATTTTTTGAATCACGAATTAGACAAATGATTTGCGGTTTTTTAAGAAAAAAAAAGTCAATTTTTAAGAAATTTTCCTTTCTTCGTATTTTTTTTTTTCTATTTTTTATTTCATATCATTCATTTTCATTTCATGCGAGGTGAAAATAAATGAATAATTTTGTATGAATTGTAATTTTTTTTTCTTTTTGTTATTAAATAAAAAATAAAAAAAATGAAAAAATAGCCATTTTTTTTCGTTCAAATCCTTATTTATTACAAAATTCACAAATGAATTTATAAGAATTGCTTTAAAAAAATGTGAAATGGCATTAACTTAAAATAAGTTTCTTAGAATTTTTCCACTTTTTTTTATATTTAAAAAAAAAAATTTTCCAAAAATTTTCAATTTTATAGAAGGAAATTTGAAAAAATAAAATAAGAAAATATTTTATAATTTGTTTTGCATAATTTTTGCATATCGAAGAAGATATTCATAAAGAAGATTTTTTCATTTAAAATATATATATATATAATTATAAATATAATAAATTATATAATTATATAATAAATATATATATATATATAATATATAATTATTTAAGAATATGCAAAACTTAAGGTATTTATGAGGTAAGCCGATGGTTCAATGAAGGTCCTCGCCTTCTAATCTAAAGTATATTGTTGTCTTAATGAAGTCTTCTCTTCTTCTAGTCTAAGTATATCATTGGCTCGATGAAATCTTCTTTTTCTAGTCTAAGGTATATTGATGGCAGTCTTCTAGTCTATAGTCCACCGATGGTTTTATGAAGTGCTCTTCTTCAAATCTAAAGTGCAGTTCAATGATAGTCCAGCGCTGTTCTCGCTTTTCTTGTACTTCCTCATAAAACTATCGAAAATTCTTCTTCACATGGTACTTTATTTTTATCGAAATTTATTACATGCATATGCAAGAAGAGAATATTAATGAAAACGAAACAACGTCTAAGAGATAATATTGACCCAAAGTTTTCTTCAAATAATTGAAATGATTGATTACGTTGAATTGAAAGTCGTTTAGAATTTAGTTGATTTATTTATAGCTGTAAATAAATTGCTTTTTAGTTTAGTTTAGTTTAGAATGGATTGGGTTTTTCGATCAACTAACTGATAACTAAATTTTTATTAGATTTTCTTAAAAAATTTCATTTAATTTTCCATATAATTCTTTTGTGAAAAAAGAATTAAAAAAAAATAATTAAAAAAAAACTTCTTAAAAAAATTTAATTTTTTTTTATTTTTAAATATTTTATAAATATTTAATTTTACAATCTTCTTACAAGAGCAAATCGTCAGTGATTCAACAAGAAAATTTTCAAGACGACTTATAAAAATTTTATTTATTCTTCGACGATAAATTTGATGAAATAATATAAAAATGCAAGAAATTGCTTTCGTCTTTAATTAATATGCACCTGGTTTCGTTGATTTGTTTGTTTATCACTATGAATTATGGATTAAAGACTCAAATTTGATTATAAAAAAGGCGCATAACTATTAGTTCCATTTTTAATATCATCGAGGAAGAAAAAAAAAAAATTTGATTGTTGAAAATAACTAATTGGATTTTTTTTTGTGAAAAAAAAATTATTAATAAAAAAATATTTTTTATTATTTAAAAGAATTTTAGATTGAATTAAAATAGATTTTCAATCTATTTCATCTTTTTCATCTTTTCTAAAGCAATTTCCTAGGCTATTTTACGGAATTTGATCAAATGAATCGATATAGTCTATAAATTCTAAACAACATCCTTGAAATATAATTAAGAAAGCTTAAATGGCTTCGAAATAGATGCTACATATTTCTTTTTTTTTTTTGCTATATTATTATAATTGAATCGAACAGTCTAAAAAAAATGTTTTATTCTTGTAGAGCTAACAAAACGAGCCTAACCATTAATTGTAAGAACCCTACCTAACCAGTAATGATGAGAAATTATTAAAAGAAAGCTTTTTTTTCTTTTTGGCTTCCTACCGTAACAATTTCTCAGTTTACTAAGTATTTCGTTATATTTCCATTTTTCTGTTCGAATTTCTAATTCAAATTCTGCGTCATTTTTTAATTGTATAAAAACTGAACTATAATTTTGAATGAAACCAAGTACCACAGGATGAATCAAATTTTATAAAATAGGCTGAATCGTATAGAAATTGAGAAATATTGCATTATTTTTATATTGATAAGCCAGAATTTATGGTTTGTTTATGGTTTTTATAAAAAAAAGAATTCAACTAAAAGCATGTCGAATGAGTTTTTTTTTTTTTTTAATCCCGTTGAATACAAATAAATTTGCAAGCAAATTTTCGGCATTTTCAGTAAAATAATTCAACTTTTCATTTAGTGATGATATATTTTAATCAAAGCCCAAAGTCCATAACCCAAAGCCCAGTGCCTAATCATGGCTGAAAAAGAAAAAAATCAAGACTAGTATTAATTAAATATATCCGTTTTCCTTTTCCTTTTTTTTTGTGCTTTAATTCATCAAGTTCATTTATTCCTTATCAACCGTATAATTTTATTATTTTTTTATAGCAATGATGTTTCAAGACTGTACGATCTCATCAAATCAGCTAATCGATAGTTATTGGTTATCAGTAAAACTGGCGAATGGTTGTAATTGTACCAATATTAGAGATGAAAATCTTATATATAATTTACATTGTGAATCGTTTCCATTTAATCACGATATTCCAATTCAGCTATTTTATATTTTTATATTTTCATTCATTATATTGCTAGCTGTATGTGGCAATTTTACAGTTATTTGGTTAGTTTTTTTTTTTATTTTTTAGAAATTATAATAATACAATTTATTTAGATTTTATTAAGCATATGAAGCGATAACGCCTTTTTTCTCTCGTAAAAGTGATAAAGAAATTTTAAAAATTTAGAAATTTAAAAATCTTCAACTAGCCAAATTAAATAAATAAATGTGTTTTCATGATAGACGAGAGCAATTTTCATAAAAATTGCTTTTTCCGTAGAAATTAATTTATTCAATATTTATCGAATCTTTTTTCTCAAAATTGATGTTTTTGCCTATTATAAGAATTAAAATAAATAATAATACTAATCTAAAAAGATTTTTTTCTTTAATAGTTTTTTTTTTTTTTTTCTCTTCTCGTCGTTTCAAATTAGACTGATTTCCGTTGGTTTATTGAAATAGATAGGATAAGTTATCATTCAGATTTTTCAATGCTAAATTTAAATTAATTTAACGATAATGAAACCACAACATCGGCGCTCCGAATAATAATCGGTGTTGTGGTGTTTTTAAACCGCATAATTAAATAATAAAATAATAATTAAATAATAAAATAAATTAATAGAAAATATAATGAGATCAGATAAATTTGGCATTTTTGATAAATTTTCCTTGGATTGTTTTACTAATATTATGGAACCAACTTTACTTTACTTTATCTATATTTAAACATTAACGAATAAATGATTTATATAATTGGCAGTGTTTATTTAAAAAAAAAAATTTTTTTGAATAGTTTTTTTTGGAAAAACGATTAATTTTAAAATTATTGGTAAAATTTTCATTCAATGCATATCGAAATTAACAGTTAAAAAGTTGGCTAAACATCGATGAAATTTGGCGAAATAAAAGGACTAAAATTTTTTTTTAATGAATGAATATAATTATAGAAGGATCAAAGGATTCGTGGATTTATAGCGAGTGAAGCACTATAGGCAAATCTTTCGTATTGCTTACCTACCTATGATAATCTTTCGAAATTTTTTATTATACAAATAAAATTATACAAATAAATTTAATAAATGAGGAAGAGCTCGTAATGAGGAAGAAAAAATTTCAGGATTGTTTTGTGGCATGAGCGAATGCGTACCGTAACAAACTATTATTTATTGAATTTAGCAATCGCCGATGCATCTATTTCGATTTTTAACACTGGTTTTTCATGGTCCTATAATTTTTATTATGTTTGGATATTTGGACCAACCTATTGCGCAATTAATAATTTAATGGGTATAGCACCAATATGTGCTAGCGTATTTACAATGATTATCATGAGTATCGATAGGTGAATTATCTGACATTTATCATTTATCATTTTCAATAAAAAAAAAACATTTGTTTTTTTTGAGACGATATCCGTAAACTGAAAATATTTTTTAGAAAATTTTATCAAAATTTTACATTTTAACTTTTTGAAATGAATGTTTGTGTTATCAGTTGTTTGGATTAAATATAATTTTACAAGACTACATTTACTATGCTTCATCTCATTTTATTGATATTATATTTTTTATCATATGTCCTTTATCATGATTTCGAAGAGAATTCTTTTTCTTTTTAGGTATGTGGCAATCGTATATCCATTAAAACCAAGGTTAGGTCGTCGATCGACTGTTTCTGCAATAATCTTAATTTGGATTTTGGCTATATTATGTGGATTACCTGCACTACTCGCCTCAAAGCAAGAACTCAACTATTTTGTTGATGATTCTAATGAAATATTCATTGATCCGATTTGTTTAGCAGATAATTTTCCAGATGGAAATGCGCTTACCAGTCGTCTTTTTAATATGTAAGTTTATTCCTCAAAGAGTTCATTATTTCTCGTTAAGTTCGTTCGCTCTGTTAAGCAATCGGCTTATCGGATCAGATAAATTTTTGCCAGAAAGTCATTTGGCGATTAAAGAACAATACCTGCAAAGCATCGGCTTTCCAAAACAAAAGCAGTAACACACTGAGTCATTTCGTATAAATTATTGCTTCTCTTTATCTCTCCCTAAAGATAACTTATTAAAATAATGGGCCTAATGGGCCTAGCCCGGCGAAATTCTGTGATTTGACCAAATTTCCTGTTCTTGATAAATATCCTCGAAATTTCATCCCATTGAGGCCAATTTCCTTAGAACAATATTCGATCATGTTATTGAATTGTATTTTGTCAAAAAGGTTCTACTTCTTCTAGCTACTATCTACTGTTACTACTACTACTATTGGCTGTCTCCATTGACTGCAATGGTAGTTTTTCGACTACATGCGATGTTTGAAATTAGCGGAACTCTGTTTTTTCACTGCATAAGGCGTATAGTTGATATACAAATCGATCCCGAACCATTGAGTCCCCTTTGTTCATGACACCGTCCATTATAAGATTTCGCATGAGGTTTTCGTTAATTTTAAGGCTGACGACACAAAACATACAGTCTAATAGCTTAGACAATACTCTTTGACAATACCACAGCTGCAAGTCTGAGTGGATGCAATCATGCGAGGTTTTCTCCATAACGCGAATAAGATATGCCTTAGCCAAGAATGGTCATAGGTTAGTAGATTTCTTATATCATTTGCTCTCAATGGTCAATTTTTTTCTTCTTCTTCTAAAGCTCTCATTATAACTGGTTAGACTGGTTCCGTTGGCTATAAGAGTAAGATGTCTCCAAGCTGCCTCATCCGACGCCATCACTAGTAATAATAGAAGCCATTCCTTTTTCCATCGTTTAAGTCCATATATCGCTAGTTCCCAAATTTTAGATGCCATGCAACTGGATTTGATGCGAATTTTAGTTTTAAGAATCAATTTCGCAACCATTTTATACTTCACCAGACGAATGCCATCGAATGGAGAATTCAAAAAAAGTTTATTTGAAGTCGTAAAAATCAAAAAACAAGATTTAAATAAGCAAATCAATTTATAAATACCAATAGTCAATAAGGTTCCGTTAGTAATAAATAACATAATAACAATTACATTTAAACAAATGGTACCTTGAAATACCTACAAATGATACCTACTGACGATGTACTTCTGCCGCGACTCCCTGATATATTTATCTTGGCCAATAGACTAGCAGAGAAAGTCTAACGAGTAATCATGCGTACCCTTTAAAAAAAATGGTGCACTGGTGAAAAAAATATAACAAAGATAAATCAAAATGGGATTGAAAAACAACAATCAATTACACCAACAATAAACAAGTCAATTGGAAAAGAGTCACCATGGGTCCACGAAGAGTTACAAATATTTGCCTTGGCATCTCAACAATGAATAAATAAAAAGAAGTGCAAACAATTGTTTGAACTTGAATTTCATCCTTTTAACATGAAAATTTGTTTGAAATTTTTTTCACTTATTTGAAATTGAAATAAAAACGTTCAAAACACGTTAGCAAAAAGTTATCGCTAGAAGGTCTAATATCTGTTGTAATTCTTCACAATTGCTAGGAAAAAGAATAAAAGGTCGTCAACGTATTCGAGATCAGTTATGCTCTCAACTGATTTATTTGACTTTCCCCTAAGGAATGCCGTCAGCAATATTCATAATCCAATTTATCGCAGACACTGAAAGGACATCACCTTGCTATTAGTTCATATTTCAAAGATTTTATTCATATATATTTGAGTCGGATAAATTTGAGCCGATAAAATGCTTGTTTGCTTTCGCTGTGTTGCACCACCTGCAGCGGTAATGTCCTACATGATGTTAGGTTGGCGTTGTTTTTCCAGTATCTTTCTTAATTCGACCAGTAGAGCCATATCGCGACTTATATCATTTGCTATGACGAGTCAGTTCAATAGGTGAAATTCTCAGAGATATTTGATCTCTCGATAGTTATCGCGCTATACTGCCTACTGCTTGGTCATGAAGAAAAGATTATACAATTATAAAGAGGTAATTCATACGCTTTATAAGTCATAAAGAGTCATAACAAATAGATTAGCAAGTCGTTTTACTCAAAATTCCAGTATTCTCCCAAAACAATAATTTTTTTTCATTTATTTAACTTTTTTTTGTTCTTTATCAACTTTGTTATCAGTTGATCATTTTTATCAATTTGTTATTAATTTATTAATTTATTAATTTTTTCGTTCATTATTATAAATTTCCAATTTTAGATATAATAATTTATTGATGATAATGAATTATATTTTGCCATTAATCGTGCTTATTTTTACATATGGACGAGTTGCTGTTGTGTTAAGGAAAAGTGAATCGATTGGCGATACAAGGCATTATGAAAATATTAAAGCAAAAAAACGGGTATATATTTAAATTTCGATCTCTAAAAATATTATTTAATTAATCTAATTCGAGTAATTTTAATTGAAAATCGGAAGAAATAAACATTTAATTAAATCACTTAATTATTGCTTAAGTCATTTAATTAAAAAAAAAAAAATTTCTACGAGAAATCCTTCAAAAAGAACTAAAAGATATGCGAAAATTTTTTAATTAAATATATATAAATTTAATAAGAATCTTTTGATTTTCACTTAAAATTATATTAACAAAAACAAATATTTTAATAAATTAATATAATTTAATAATAAATATTTTCGTTTCTTATTAATAATATTTTTATTATTCTTTAACAATGTTTAAATAAAAACAAAAATAATAAAAATAATAAATACAATTTTAATAAAAATATAAAAATAAAGTTTAATAAAAATAAATACAATTTTAGGCTGCTAATATGCTCGCTCTTATAGTTTTTATTTTCATGTTTTTATGGTTTCCTTATCAACTTTATTTTTCTGTACTCTATACGCATTTAACTTCTGAATATGATCGAAAGACTTCTCTCTATATTTATTTAAATATTTATTGGCTTGGAATGAGTTCAACAATTTTTAATCCTATAATCTATTATTTTATGAATGAAAGGTTCATTTTGTTTTTTTTTTTTGCTTTTGCAACTTTTATTTTATTTTATTTGGAAGTATTCAATAGCCGAGGTATTGTTGAATGGACTAATTTTTGATGGCACAAAGGCGAACCACAAAGGTAAATACCAATCGAAAGTTATAATAAACAATAAATGAAAATAAAGAAGCATTGTAGGACCAAAACCAATTTGTATTATATAACTAAATTATGTTAACATATTTCGATAGGAGACCTATTATTTAGGCGAAGAAAAGATAGAAGAAGTGAGGTTAAATGAAAAAATCCTTTTATAAATTAGGTATTTTTTAAGTTGCAAATATTTGAAAATGAATATATTATATAAAAATATATTATATATTATATTATTTATATATATACTATATTATATATTATAAAAATCATAATAAATATAAAATTATTATATAAAAATTATATTATTTTATTATAAAATTATTATGTAAAAATTATAATAATAAATGATGAAATATTTCTTAAAATTCTTATAAAAATATAAATAATAAAAGAACTTCGAAAGAAACCCTTTGTAATTAATGAAGCTTAAATTTCTTAGTGCAATTATCTCTTCGTAATATCGTAAAAATTATGAAAGGTCAATTCAGTTATTGGTTATAACTAATCAAACAAATATTAATTTTGTTCTCAATTAAAATATTTAAAAAAATTTTAAAATTTTCTTCAGGTTTCGATTAGGATTTCGTTATGCATTTCGGTGGTTACCATTTATTAAGGTGAATCTAAATGAATATGAATATTTACTAATGACTGGCAAAAATCATGAAATAAAAGCACTACCAACGACGAGAATGTTACCGACATCGCATTGCGATTCACCAACACCGACAAATACGTATAATTAACTCCAATCGACGTGATTTATGATTATTTCATTTTTAAACGAAAATATTAAATGAATTGTGAATATTAATAAGTGAATTTAATCCAAAGGATTGTATGAAATTCAAAAAAAAAATTTTTGTTTTTTTTTGTGATTCTATTGTATATTATTTTAAATTTTTTGAAAAAATTTTTAATCTAAAATTTCAAAATAATTATGATTTTTTTTGTTCAAAATTGAACTATTTTACCATAAAAAATCGTTACAATATAAATACAATAAAGTTATATATTTTGCGGAATTTATATTTGCATGAAATATATAAAATTTTTCAATAATGAGTCGAGTAAAATAAAATGAAATTAATGAAAAAATTCTATTTTATTCAACTAAATTCTTATCTATCTTTAACAGAAAAAAAATAACTGAAGTGAAAAAATATTGAGCGAATTTATTCATTCGTTTCGATTAAGAGGTAATTCAGTATGAGTTTCATTTGATACGAAAAAATATGCCTTTGATAAGAATAAAATTCAGTCTTAGTAGGTGTTTTGAAAAAAATTTTGGCAATCAAATGAGACCATAATTGTACTGGAACATTTTAAATTTTAAATTTTATTATCAACTATGATCGAAATAAAATTTAAGTTGTAAATTCTAAAATTCTAAAAATAGCCTCATAGAAGTGATTTTATCAAGATTTAACAAATAATAAAGAAAATTAGTTGATTCTTCCCCTGATAAGGAACTGTTAAGCTATTCTTCTTTTTTTTGATATGTTTTTTCTTTCCCAAGAAAATACGCATTGAACTATTGGTTGAGATGCATAAAATATTTGGAACGAATAATAAATAATCGATGGACTTGGCTATTATTTCTCCATAATTAATTAAATGATTATTATTTTAAAATCTTTTAAATGATTTTAAATGAAAGAAATATATATAAAATCAAAAAAATTCGAATCGAAATTCGTAAAAATTTTTGGTTTTTTCCATTGTTTCAACGATTAATTTGAAAAGAAAATGGCTCGAGTTCGATGTTTCTAGAAAAGGCACTGTTTTACTAAGTAGTTGAATGATCGCTTTATTTCGGGAACGCCGAAGTTTTATTCTTGGCCAAAATAAATTTGCCTTTTAAAATTCTATACTTTTATTACCATATGACTGAATGCATGACAAAATTTGTTTGATCCTGCAAATCACTATAGCGAAATTCAACCAGCAGTTGTAAGCAAACTTCGAAAACATATTTCGCCACAGATTATTCCATTCTTCAGCAAACTACTTGAAAACAAACTACTAGTGATTCTTTGCTTTTTTCATTTTTAGTGCCAACAAACTTTCACCTATTAAGAAAAAGAAACTAAATTTCTTTTTATTAGTCAAAACAATATTATTTCAACCAGGGCGTTCCATATCGCAAAATATTCTTCAAAATATTGCAATTAATAATTTTCTTATAATATTCACGAAATGTTTTGCTCAGTTAAATTAAGTGAAAAATTAATATTTAATTGTGTAAATTTCATTTTTTTTTTTAGCTTAAAATTTCATTAAAATCATAAACGATTTTTTTTCGATAAAAATATTTTTATAAAAATTTTTATTTTTATAAAAATAAATAAGCAATAAATTTCCTAAAAATATTTCTTTGTTTTTCATTTTCTAAACGTCGATATATATAACAAATGCGTTTTACTTATTTTTATTCGCCAAAATCCTCTGAAAAATCCTTCTAAAAAATTTGCTAATTCGCTAATAAGTAATAATGAACGAAAGTCAAAATTTGAAAGTCAAATTGTAATTTTTTTCAATAATTATGAAGTGAATTCTTTCTTTAGAGGATCATTTTGTGATAAGAGTTTCAGATAAATCGTCAATCACTCTATCATTTTTATCATTTTTTGATGAATAGAGCTTTTGACTCAACCGAATATATTGAATATTAAGGAAGAAAAAGAAGAATTGAATTTTCTATCTGTGAACATTTAAAAATAATATATTATTAATTCTAAGTGACTCTGACGACTCATCTCTATCGCCAAGGGATTTCCTAGCATATTTGTCTGGTCCGACAAGCCAGTGAAACGAGTCTAACAGTGGTAAGTGGTCTTAACCAAACAAAAAAATTTGTAATATTGGGTAAAATCCTTCTAGTTAAGTTCGAGGCGAGGTAGCAAAGGGATGATAGTTCAGATAAGACGATTCAATTTTTATTTTTATTAATATGATTTTATGATAGTTATTAATATTTGTCAATACCAAACTTATTTACAATACAATTATTTTAGCTATTCTTTTTATTTTTTCTTTTAAGTGTTCTCATTAATTTTTTATTAGATTCGCTCCTTTGGCTTGTCCCACTGGACAAATATGCTAGGAAATCCTATAGCGATAGAAATATAGGTAAGTCACCAGCATTATCCGGATTTTTGGACAGGTTTATTCCTACGGAGAATAGAACCTCAGCATCGGCAGTCGGAATTGAGCAACAACCCACTGAGGCATTCTTTTCCTTATATTTTAGCTATTATATTCTAATATGTTTACTAAAATTGTAATAAATTCCGATTTGTCGAAAATTCTTTTGTTTCTTAATCCGATTTTAAAATGACGCCGTTTTCACACACTCATTAATTTCAAATTACTCAGGCAACATAAAAATATGAAAATCGAAGAATAAAATAAGCCTTAAACCTTTCAAAATCATAAAAAATTTCGCATTCACTACTTGTTAATATATATATAAGGATTATTGCATTTTGCATTTTTGCATTTTTATATGGGAAAAAAAAGAAGGTGCATAAAAAAAATGTGCTGCACTGTAGATATACAAGCGCTTTAATTCTAAATTTTTTTCGAAAAATCTATAAATGCATATTTTTAATTCAATTTGATAATTGATAAGATAATTCATTTATAATTTTTTAAAAAAATTCAAGCAAAGAATCCAAGAAAGTAACTAAGAAATTTATTTAAATTTATAAATTTAACTACTTCTTTTTTTTTAAATATTTTTATTTTAAAAATAAAAAATTTTTGATGCATTTTTTTTTTTGATGAATTAACAACACAAAAAAAATAATTCAAATGATGAGATATTCTATCAAAAATTCTTTTCACTTCTTTTCTTTCTAATTTTTTTTCTTTTTTTTAAGAAATTAGTGTTCAATTCAGTATTTGATAGAAATTTCCGTTTTATAGCCTATTGAGGAGAGAAAACATGAATTAAAAAATTTCATAGAATTTTTGCTAATCGAAAAAAAAGACCATTTTTATTTTTATTTTTTTATTGAATAAAATTTACTGAAAAATTTTTTGCCTTTACTGAATTTCCTGGAATATATTTTTTATTAATTTCATTAATATTATTATTAGTATTATTATTATTAGTATTATTACTATTAATGCTATTTTCATATTATTATTATTAATATTATAATTAATATTGTTACTAGTAATAAGTGTTGAAATTAATATTTTTAGTATTAATATTATTATTGTTTTTATTACTGTTGTTATTATTATTTTTGATAAGTATCTTTTTCATTTCACTTCTATGATTATATTCTGTCAATTCGCATTCGCATTTTCGTGTTTCATGATTTTTATCGTCTTCATCATTGCCATGGTATCTCCTTTATCGCTCCATTAATTTTAATGGATCTTAATCAATTAGTGAAATGCATTTTCATGAATTCATGCTTTTGATGGATGATTTAATGATTAATGGATTTGTTATCAACATACAATATGTTTTGTTGCTTTCAATAACAATAATCGCTTTTCTTTTTAAATATTGAGTGTTTTTTTTTCCAATATTTATAAGTGAAAAAGAAAAACTGTAGTAAGATTTCAATTTCATTGATTTTTGATAAGTTAATGAAAACTTATCTTTTCTTATCATCAAAATTGATGAAAAATTTGAATTCGTTTTTAATTATTACTCATAAATCACCGATTATTTTCAGATAAGCGCATTTTTAAAAATATTCTTAAAAAGGCTTATATAACATATGACTAGCCATTTATATGAATAAATACATTGTTATCTGAAAATTTTGGGTCGTTTTCTCTCTTGAGAATAATTATTCGGTTAAAGTCGGTTTAACTTTATGTAAAAGTTAGAGAAATTAAGTCTCAATTATAAAATTTTCATGCTAAGTTCAACGTCATAATTAATCGATGCTAAATAAAATAATAAAGAAAAACATAAAAAATGTTAGAAGACCTAATCCTTTTTTTATCATCTAAAAGGTTTACTAGCTCCACTGATAAGCGATGCTCGTTTGTTTTATCACTATAAGTAGAGGTAAAGATGGACAGCCATTTTAGTTTAGTTATAATCAGAAGTTTATCAAAAGAGTAGTGATTAAATTCGTATTACTTACCATCAATCGAAGCAGTTTATGGTTATGGTTCATTTACTATTCAGCTAACGATAATTTTTTACACCCTACTAATAAATGCAAATAATAGTTAGACATAGAAATATTTCTCACCATCACCATGATTTATGGATATTAATACCACAAATTTTCTTCTTTTAACAGCTCTCACCATTACTGGTTAAGCTGGTTCCCCTAATTACAATAAGATTAATGGCTGATAATAGAAGCCATTCCTTTTCTCATTGTCTAAGTCCATATATTACTGGTCCATCTATACTCTCAAAATCTTTCCTGATCTATTAGTCCTGATCTTGATTGGCCTGCCTTACTTTTGACGCCAGTCATCATAGAATTTAGCAGGTTATGAATATGCATCAACTCTTGTGGTGGACGACGGAAAACGTGCCCTAACCAGCGAAAGACATTATTAATACAGGTGGCATTTGTGCGAAGATGGATACGATCATGTGTGATTTTCCATAAAATATATCTTAAACATGAATTGTCAAAGGCTGTTGGAAGCTCCTTAATATCTTCCGCTTTCATTGGCTATATAGCAAGATTGAGTGAACAGCTATATCGACGCGAGTTTTTGTCTTTATGGTGGCGAAGGTTCCATAAAGATTTCG